GGGGGGGGGGGGGGGGGGGGGGGGGAAAAACAGAAATACACTTTTTAAAGTCAAAAGCCAAAGTGAAAACAGATCTCCCAAGGTGAATTAAAGTAATTACAATACAAAAAATACAAAACTCACAAACCCCCTTTAATATGACACACCCAAGTCATCAATGGAGTGGCCAATTATATTCAAGAGTCACAAAATTAATTATGGGTGAACGCCTGAGAAAACACACACAAAAAAAAAAACTTCACTCTTGCAGTGGATCCCCTTTGCACTGCAAGGGTTAATTGCTTGTTTTGCCAAGGGGATGGTGAATAAGGCGATGTACACAGTTACATAGTATTTGAGGTTGAATAAAGACACAGGTCCATCGAGTTCAACCTTTGTGTGTCTGTGTGTGATTGTGCATGTGTGTGTGTGTGTGTGTGTATGAGTCCCTGTGTGGTCCTAGGTTTTTAAGAGTACCTGTACCCCTGTATGTTATGGTCTCTGAGGAAGGTATCTAAATGCTTTTTGAATGATTCAATACTCTCTGCAGATACCACTGTTTGTGGCGACAAGTTTAAAAAATTAACTGCTCTGACTGAAAAGAATCCCCTACGCCCTTTGTGGTTAAATCTTTTTTCCACCAATTTTAGGTGGTGGCCTCTAGTCTTTGTTATGGAGTTTACTGTAAAATGTTTATTGCTGATGTTGCCAACACCACTAAACATTTTGTACATCAAAATCATGTCCCCTCTTAATCACGTCACTTCTAAAGTCAACAAGTTTAAATTTAGCAACCATGTCCCATAGCTTTGGTCCTCCAGCCCCTTAACTTGTTTTGTCGCCCTTCTCTGGACTCTCTCTCTAGTTCCAGCACATCCATTCTATGGATAGGTGAGCAAAACTGGACCGCATACTCCAGATGAGGCCGGGTGGCGAGTCATTACACGCCGCCTGGCTGCTTTAATGGGACTTCCGGTATTGGCGAGTACCGGAAAAAAATACCGGTATCGGTGCATCCCTACATTTCACGCATTCCTCGCCTCCCTTTGTCCAATCAGAGAACAACTTGTATTTATTGATAAAAAGACTAGCCATTCTCTGAAAGGCCATAGTGCTGAGCAAACGACTGCCTGGGGGGAAAACTGGAGCAGACTGAATCTGGGGCAGTTGTCTATGGCAAGCAATCAGCTGTATGGTGCCGTGCTGAGGGACTTCCCCCGTTTTCAGAGGGGAAGTCGCTCAGCACGGCACCATACAGGAACTGTAAGATCCCTGCCAACACTAGTAGCTACAGCTACTATAGTGCAATACTGGACACCCAGCAGCAGATCAGGTGTGACATGCACATACTTACAACATTCTGAAAACATCCGGAGGAAATATTAAGGAGGATTTGTCCCAATATCTGCCTCAGGTTGCCCACAAAGTGTAACTAAGATTTGTTTGCGGTGATTTGTTTGGTGCGATTTGTTGCAATTATAATCACCAGCACTTTACTTAACGATTTGGAGGACTTTTTTTGAATGATAATTTATTGCACTTTCACCATATGAATTACTGTTTGACTATAAGGGTCACAAACATTTCACATTTGTTATATCTGGAAGTTTACCTATCCAGATAGGGATCGCATCACCATTATTTTATCATTTGTTGAGTGTATGACACTTTTCTCATTATGGTTCATTTATGAATTTTCACTGTCATTATTTGATTATTGTGATATCCACTGTGATTTATCCACATATTGTTGTTTCACTGAGATCATTTTTCACAGTAATAATTCCCAGTAATTGGAGTATATTTAATTTACTGTATTTCTTGATATAATTTGTATCCAGTTCAAGAGACATCTTTATTCATAAATACAAGGTTTATGGCACATTAAGAGTAATTTAACATATTTGTTTGAATATCTAGATTAAAGCACATTAGGGGGGTTTAGCGCCGCAAAATCATTGTTTATATTATATTGTTACATGACCTTGTCACAAAATATCAGCAGTACTGTCACACGTATAAACTCAAAGCAACGTGCATGTGGACTACAACATCAGCTGTCAGCAAATGAACCTACAGTCACAAATAATACCGAACGTTTCCATATCAACCCAAAAGACGCATCGCCTTTATGTAATCAGTTCTTTCTTTCTTCCAAAGCCCTATCTGTGCAGTACACTGGGCAGCATTGGAGGGACTATTCAGCACCGAGCACAATGATACAACATAACGCTACTCACTGCCTTCCCTCCACCACGCGACTACTTCCTGTCTGATCACGTGACTGAACACGGAATAAGCTTTAGAGCCACCCTGCCGGATTTCTATTGGTCAATCATAAGTCCTTCCCTTGTGTTACCTCTGTTTCTATGGGAACGAAGTATGCGTGTCTGCTAGCCGCTCGATCACCGGAGAATGGAGGCAGCCGGTGTTCTCCCCGGCATGGACTCCGGTAAGAGTCCGCAGTATTGGTCACATATTGCTATGTAGCTGAGTTGTGTTCTGCAATGCATGTATATTTTTCATTGCTCGGACACTGTTGGTGTTATGTGGTTTTGCTTAATCCTTGTTGGTGCTTCGGTACATCACTAGAGTAATATTAACCACTTGAAGACCAGGGTGTTAAACCCCCTTCCTGTGCAGGCCATTTTTTAGTATTCAGTCATGAAATGCTATACTGAAATTAATTTTATACCATTTTTTGGTGGGACAGATTGAGCTTTCTTTTAGTGTTATTTAATCACCACTGGGGTTTTTATTTTAATTACTATGTAACAAAAAAAGTACTGAAAAGTTTAAAACAAAAACTGTTTTCGCTATCTTTTGTTATGAAACATTTATTACCCAATTTTCCCCAGACGTCTTCCAGGACAGTCCTTGAGATGCTCCTCCCACCGGACAGGAAACACATCACAAAAAAATAAATTAAAGGACCGCCTCCTCTAATCCTCTTCAGTTTTTTGTTTCCTCCGGCTGGAGGAGGCATGTCACCTCAAAGAGTGCTCCTCTACTATGTATTATCTGAATTGCCAGATTATTGTGTCCCCGGGATCCCCTCCTCAGTAGTAATGGGCTGAACACACCTGAGTTCGGTTCTAACTCAAACTTTAGAATATGGAAAAAGTTCTAACTCAAACTTAGAACTCAATGCAAGTCTATGGGACCAGAACTCAGAAAATCAAATGTCCCCTTTTTGAAGCCTTATATGCAATTTATTGGCCATAAAAAGGGTATGGGGATTTGGGTACTGCCCTGGGGGGACATGGATCAATGAAAAAAAACACTTTTAAAAAATACAGTTTTTAAAGGAGCAGTGATTTTAACATTGCTTAAAGTGAAACAATAAAAAGGACAAATTCCTTTAAATATCGTGCTTGAGGGGTCCCCTTAAACTGCCTGTGAAGTGGCGGATCTGTACGATGTATAGAACCTGCTGCAGCAAAAAGTGACATTTATAAAGAACAAAATGACATTTAAATTGCCGGTAATTGGTTTTTCCTTAATCTTGTAAACAACTGCTTGGGGAACAACAATGAGGAAGCAAAAGCTGCTGAAAAAATAAATACATAAAAAAAAAATGGGAACACTGGTGACGCAGAAGGAGGAACAGCAGTGACACCACTGACACACGAACACACGAACTATCAGGGCGTTCGGCAGGCTGTTCGCCTGCCGAGCGCCCCATAAGGCAATGCGTCTTCTGAAGCCCTGATTGGCTAAAGCCTTGCACCTGACCACAGGTCAGGTGCAAGACTTTGCCCAATCAGGGCACAGAGAACTGTGAGAGCCATGATTGGTCAACGTCATGATGACTCTGCCCAATCATGGCTCACCTGTTACAACTTTAAACAGTTGGGCAGAGCTAGCTGTCACTGCTAGCTCCGCCCATTTCTTTATAAGTTGGCAGCATCTGTCAAAATGCCATGGGGCATGGTATAACTTTAACCCCTTCGTGACGGGAGACGTACACTGTACGTCCCGCCACAAAGGGACCAAATGACTCGTCACGTACACTGTACGTACGTGTGTAGCGCAATTGTCGTTTTTGCGCGCTGGTGCACCGGACGCGTATTTACGTTTATATCTGCGTAAACGTGGGGGTGGGGGAGTTAAACATTTTGGGGGCATTTACTTTTTTTTAGTCATCTGGCTGAGAACGAGCACATATAGAGCTATGGAGCCACCGATCGTCTATATGTGAAACACCCGGTAACGGTGTTTGCATTGGTCGGGTCTTTTGTGCCCGTGCGCACCCGCTAGGGGGCGCACGCGAGCAGAAAATAAATGCCGTCTGGAGATGGCAACCCACCAATGCTGCAGTGCCGTCCGTCCGTTTTTTTACAACGTGCGGACGGCAAGTGGTTAAAAGGAGAACTATGGGGTCAGCGTTTTTCCCCATAGTTCTCCTTAGGGTAACGGGAGGTAACCCGGTATGTGTTCGCTCACCTCCCGATCTACTCTGCCGACCTGTGACAGTCTCATTGTCACAGGTCGGCTAGAACTATGAGGTGAGTGGAAATCACTCGTCTCATAGTTCTCCTTTAATGGATGCCTCAGTATAGAGGCATTCATGAATGAAAGGGTTAACCTTTTTCAGACACCTGATACCTTAATATCGGGTGTCTGAGAGTCAAAGCAGAGCGGGCAAAAATGCAGGCAAAAGCCGGCATTCTGACAGCTCGTATAGATCTAGATATCTCTCTCGGATCGTATACTGGCTTTTTTTTTTCTTTCACTTTCAGGAATAGATACATAATGCATCTATTCCTGAAAGAAGAATGTTTCCGTTTTCTAATCGTTGTTGGAACGTTCAGAAAACCTTTAGTGACAGCTGAATCCTGAACTGCTGCAGGATCAGTGTCACTAACTTATTATTGGCTGTTCTGAAGTTTGAAACAGCCTAATAATAACCAAAAATGTATTAATTTATCAAGCAGTAATAGTGAGATTAATTCACAATGACTGCTTGATATAATTAAATAAATAAAATAAAAATTTTAAAAGTTTTAAAAAAATAGGGAAAAGTGTAAAAAAAATTAAAATAGTGAAAAGTGTAAAGAAAAAAAAGAAGTGTAAACATTTTTTTTTAAAAAGGACAAATAAATGAATGTATTTATTTTTTTAAGTTTTTTTCCTCTTTTTTTTTTTTGTCCTCTAAAAAACAAATGTCAGTTTTGCTGCAGCAGGTTCTATACATCGTACAGATCCGCCACTTTACAGGCAGGTACGATATTTAAAGGAATTTTTCATTTTTACCCTCTAAGTGATGTTAAAATCACTGCTCCTTTAAAAACGGTATTTTTTAAAAGTGTTTTTTTCATTGATTTCTGTCCCCCAGGGCAGTACCCGGATCCACATACCATTTTTATGGCCAATAACTTGCATATAAGCCTTCAAAATGGGGACATTTAATTTTCAAGGTTCTACCCCCATAGACTTTTATTGAGTTCGAATTCAAACTCAAAAGAGCCCGGGATCCTACTATGTGTAATCTCAAGCCTGCTTTGGCTACCACATGTGTGGCTAGAAATCTGGAGTTTTGGCTGTCCCAAATGAAGGCTCATCTTGTGGCTGGTATCAATTGCTGGGATCAATTGCTAGAGTCTATTCCAGTAATTTTTAAAGCAGTAAGCTACATGGCTGATGCTTCTGCAGAGTCAGTAAGACTGTCAGCTTGCTCGGCTGCCCTTATCAATTCTTCCAGATGGTCATTATGGCTTAAGACTTGGGATGGGGATGCGGCCTCTAAATTGCGTCTGTGCAATTTGCTTTTTTTTTGGAGACCAACTTTTTGGTCTGGATCTGGAGACCACCTTAGAACGGTCTGCTGACTGAAAGAAAGCTTTCCTATGAAAAACAAAAGGCCCTTCAATAGGAAATTGTTTTGAGGCCCAAGATTCCACCCACAGAATAATAAAGATGAAGGCCAGCCAAAGAAACATTGGACAGGCCACAAAGGGAGAGGGAAGAGTTGGAATCTGTTTAACCCAACTTCTCAGAACCCCAAACAGCAGTGACTTCCTTCCTCCAGTGGGAGGAAGATTGGGGGAGTTCCTCTCACAATGGAGGGAAATTACTTACAGCCCCCCCCAAAGGTTTCTGGTCACCAAACTCCCGAGGCATCCAATCAAGGCTTCAGCCCTCTGCAGCCTCTTGGGAGATTTGGTAGATCAGAACATTATCTCTCCTGTCCCAGAAGTGGAACAGGGAAAGGGATTTTACTTGCACATATTCGTTGTCCAGAAACCGTCTGGGCAATTTCAGTTGATTCTCAATCTCAGGCCCCTGAACCAGGCAGTTCGCTACAAAAGGTTCAGGATGGACCCCATTTTTTCCATCAGAACTATTCTTCAGGAGGGTTCTTATCTGGTTACCCTGGATTTAAAGGACGCATACCTCCATGTCCCAATAAAAAGAGCCTCTCAGATATTTCTGAGATTGGCAGTCAGGATTGGGGCACGAGTCGAGACCCGCCGGCTTTCACATATGCATAGAAGGACCCTGGCATTGTGTAAGGCTGCCCTAAACACATGTCTGCATCAGACAGGTGTTTTACAGGGCAGCCTTATGCCGCACGGGGTCGTGGAGCAGGAGGGTGCTTTTTGTGCAGAAATGGTATCTTGGCACAACACTGGGAATTAGGCAGAGTAAGTACCTGCACGGTGCCCCTCTATGGAGGGCGCCTGTAGGTATTTGCCTACTCTGCCTAATGGTAAATCCGGCCCTGTAGATTACTCCTCTATGCCTGTTCTGATGACAAACCAAAATTATGGCTTAAGTGATATTAAACCCTACTTTTTTTTTTCTTCTTCTAATGCAGGTATAAAGCATTGCCTTATGTGATGCCTCCTGATGTATCTTCTTTTTTCCACCCAATTCAGGTTGATCACTCTGCTAGCAGCTCTGTTTTTTAAGTGTCTCCTTCTTCTTACAGTACCCCACAGAGATACACTTGCGTGTCGTTCCCATCATGTATGTGTACACTGCGGCAGTAGCATCGCCTCCTGAACGCTTGGCAGCCACTTCTCAGCCACCCTCTGAAAAGCGATCCACTGCAGATCACCTTTCAGAGGGGCACTAAAGGCCGCTATCCATCTAAACAAGGCCTTTTTGGCTTTTAACTTTTTTCTGCTGCCCTGTGTTCAGGAGGCAATGCTGCCTCTAGAGTTGTGTTTGGCAGGCAATGCTGTATATTTTATATAATGTTGGCCAAATAGCCTGAAACAGCTGTATGCAGTTTGGCATAAATGGCTTTATAATATTTGGCTATATTATGCACTATACATCAGTGGTTCTAATTGTGCATCTTGCCGAATGGGTGAAAAGCAAAGATTAGCATGATTCCACCCAGTATCCTGAAATGAGGAATAATCCTCCCTGTGAATATCTGTGAACATTCGATCTGTGTGGATATTTATCAAAGCAAATGTTCTTTCATTTTTTACAAGGCATTGTATTTCCGAATGTCTTTTTTCAAGTAATACTAAATTATAGCCACTAAATGGCACTACGAAGCATAGAAAATAAGTATTTTCTATATCCAGTGACCATAATGCAGTATTAAATGACATTCGTAGGAAGCTGCTACCCCAGAAGTTTCCATCCCTAACTTTTGCAATGAGTAAAAGAAAGCACTTGCACTGGACCAGCCTTTGCAACTGTCATAGTCTGGCTAGCTGGATCACGGATGGATACCATCCACATGATCCCACCATGGGCACAGCCACAGTGCTTGCACGCCCCACCCCTTCTCTCACCAATAAATGGCTGATTAGCTGCACAGAAACCTAAGGTCACTATGCGTAAAAGCAGGTGTCAGCTAGAATGGTATAAAGTACCCACCATTGGACTTGACAGCAACCAGTGTGTTCTCTGGAGTCATGAATCCTTCTTTTCTATCCAGGAGTCTGATAAACAACCTGGGGTTGGCCAAATCTAGAAGAGCGCAACCCTCTGGTCAGCATAGTGCCTACTATAAAGTTTGGTAGAGTAAGGATAATGGGCTACTTTTCAGGTTTTGAGCTGGGGCCTTTGGTTCCAGTGAAGAGTACTGGTAATCCTATAGCATACCAAGACATTTTAGACAATTGTGCGCTTTGTGGCAACAATTTGAGTAGGGCACTTTTCTGTTCCAGCATAACTGTGCCACAGTACGCAAAGCCAGATCTGTATAAACAAGATTTGATGAGTTCAGTGTGGAGGAACTCAAGAGGCCTTCACGGAGTCCTGATTTACACCAAAATGAAGATCTTAGATGAATTGGAATGCAGATTATGAGCCAGCTCTGTTAAATGTGTGTACTGTAAATGTGGCAAAGGTCACCAATAGAAGACCAGCAAATGTACGTGGATTCAGTGGGCTTTAAAAGAATATGCCTTTTAATTTGCATGTTAGAAATGGAAAAGAAAATCTCTGGGAATTAAAAAAAAAACTTACCCTGCACCTGCACTGCAAGGGTTAAGTGCTCGCTTTGTCTAGGGGACTGAAAAAGAGCAAATATACTCCCCTGAACCTGCTAGGCTGCTTAACTAGTCCCCGCAGCCTCCTGTCCCCTTGGCTCCGGTGGTCCAAGGACCGCTGACCTCATCACGTCTAATGCAGGTTTATTCACTTGCTCTAGATGTGAAGACGTAGAGGACATTCCACAGCCAGAGCTGAAGGGGAGAGAGAGGTGAGTGCCGACTGCCACAAAAGGAGAATCAGGTGAGTATATCTGCTTTATTTGGGCCCCCTAGACAAAAATATCACTTAACCCTTGCAGTGTGGGGGTAACCCCACTGCAAGAGTAAGTTTTTTTTTAATTACTAGAGTCCTTCTTTCAATGTAAACAGCAAACAGACCTACGGGAGAGAAAGATGCTGTTAGCAACAGTTACTTTTGAATACTTTGCTGACGTGTTGTCTAAAATGTTACTACATGTCTGTGCCTTATCATTTTGGGATATGTAAGCTGATAAAAGCCAATATGCACACTGGCCTTAGGTTGCCAATGCCGACCCAACAATGTTATACTCTTGACCCCATATCTTACGATGTCATGTATTACAATGTTTGAGTACTGGTTTGGACCATTTGAAAACTGTTGGAAAACTAATAAAAACGAATTCAACCCTAAAATGTTACTACAAAAGAAATGATCTGTGTTCTATTTAGTCCTCATTATTTACACTGGATTTTCTATTTATAAATAGCTCCAGAAGTCTGTCGCATTTCATTTGTATTCCCAAATGGAGACACTTATGGTAAGAAATTCATTGTGGTGTTCATTTTTACCTGCTACTGTATACATGAACAGAGAGGCCGACTTTCAGAAGTGTAGTGGACTGTGCTTACCCAGAATAGAGCACTCCTAAGGTCAAGACAAAAATCCAAGTGCTTAATATTAACAATAAATGACAGTTGTCTGGTCACTTAGCAGCCTGAACATAAAGTAGTATCATCAATTATATAAAGTGGCAAAGAATAACTCAAATAGTTCTTTGGATAAAACCATACCCCTGAAGTCTTACCCACAAAGTCTTAGTAAAGCTTTACAAGTCCACAGAAGCTTATATAGGACAGCGGTGACCAAGCCTGTAAATATAGGGGCCTCATGTGCTTTTGTGTTCCAGCATAACAAGGCCCAGACATATCCAGAGGGGTCACAAAAGCTTGTAAATATATTTATTAGGATCATATTTTTATCTCTTATTGTCTTCCATAGCATATTGTACATCCATTTTCTTCGACACAGATGGGACTTCATTTGGTAGCAGATTTTGAAACTTTTTTTTTTTTTTTTTCTAGCTTTAATTAAATAGAAATAGGGTAATTTTTAACTAACACAGTTTTATGTCGTTTGCTTTTTTCCCCCCGATCTGTATATGATGGACACAGAGACTGTAGATGTACAAAGGGTAATAATAAAACCCCGATTGACCGTATAAGGAGAACATGTCACTATACTGAAAAAATGCAATTTAATAAATAAATGTAAAAAATATATCCTATCTTCCAACACTCCTTTCCCTGATATGTATTACACACCATGTCAGCTTATTGTGTACACTCAGCATTCTCTTCCCACCACCTCTGCTAAACATTTCACCTGCTATCATAACCTTTAGAATCCTCATATGCTTGCTACTGTCATACCCTCCACAGTCCACTTCTACATACAGGTGAAACTCGAATAATTAGAATATCGTGCAAAAGTAATTGCAGTAGGTGCTGCAAAAGGGGCCCAAACCAAGTACTGAGTACATATGCATGCTTGTACTTTTCAGAGGTCCGATATTGTTCTATGTACAATCCTTGTTTTATTGATTGCATGTAATAATCTACTTTTTTGAGGTTGTGGATTTGGGGTTCTTGGGGTTTTCATGAGCTGTAAGCCATAATCATCACAATTATGACAAATCACGGCTTGAACTATCTTGCTTTGCATGTAATGAGTCTATCTCGTATATTAGTTTCACCTTTTAAGTTGCATTAGTGAAATAAATGAACTTTGCACGATATTCTAATTATTCGAGTTTCACCTGTATATTGCCCACTGTCTTACCCAAGACAATCCTCTCCTGCACTTAATGGCCACTGTCATACCTTCTAATTCTCTCCTGCCAATACTAGCTCCTATAATACGCGTCCTACTCCTCTCTAGTATGTACTGCTCTCTGTCATATCTTACACAATCCACTCCTGCATACAATGGCTGTTTCATACCCTCCATTATTCTCTTCTGCACATACTGCCCACTTTCATACCTTCTCCTGAACATTCTGACCTCTGTCATAGCCTATGCGATCCTCTTGCACACATACTGGCTGCTGTCATATCCTCTGCATTTCTCTCCTGCAAATAGGTCCATGCTCATACTTTCTGGCACTCCTATGCTGCACATACTGCCCACTGTCATACCCTTTAATACTTTTATCCTACAAATTCTGGCTCCTTTATATGCTATCCTTATTTCCATTCTGCACATAATAGCCAATTTCATAGCTTTCAGCAATAATCTCTTGCACATACATGGATATAACCCTTCAGTTACATCTCCTGCACGTACTGCCTGCTATCATACCTTCCAGCACTCCTCTCCTGCTCATACTGTCTGATCTCATACCCTCCACACTCCGCTTCTTCCCATACTGCCTGCTATCATACCTTCCAGCACTCCTCTCCTGCTCATACTGTCTGATCTCATACCCTCCACACTCCGCTTCTTCCCATACTGCCTGCTATCATACCTTCCAGCACTCCTCTCCTGCTCATACTGTCTGATCTCATACCCTCCACACTCCGCTTCTTCCCATACTGCCTGCTATCATACCTTCCAGCACTCCTCTCCTGGTTATACTGTCCAGTCTCATACCCTTCACACTCCTCTTCTGCACATACTGCCTGCTCTAATACACTCTGGCACACTTCTGCTAACGTTATAATAATTTTTCAGCAAAAGTAACATTTTCCTTTATTAAAGCTTATTCTATAAAATGTAGATAAAAGAATATTCTGACATCGGCAATAGTTAATCACATCTATACAGGCTACCTTGAGGATGCACTCAAACACAGAAATCAGTCTTTGGTATCGGGCTTTTCTTTCTATCTGCATTTATTTGAGCAAGTTTGTTTAAATAATACCGTCAAAAAGGCAATAGAAGGTATGGGATCAGCAAGTCTTTTCTGTGTTATGGACTGTAACTGATTAAGTTAAATCTGAAGGAGTAAGTAAAGAGAACTATGAGGTGAGTGATTTCCACTCATCCTCATAGTTAGAGACGACGTGTGACATTGAAACTGTCACACGTCGGCTCTATTGATCGGGAAGTGAGCGAACACATACCGTCGCTCGCTTACTTCCCAATCATCTCCCTGAAGAGAGTGGTGGCTGTCAGTCACAGCTCCCTGCAGGGATTCCCCCCTCCCCCCACTCTCTGATCCTCCAGCGCTAAGTGGAGGAACGGACAGGGGATGGGAAGGGCACAGCTGGCTCTGCCTCTAGATAGGCAGAGCCAGCTGTCAATCAGCCAGCTGGGTGGATCGCGACAGTATTGTCGGGATCCGTCCCGGGTTCGGCGCTCTCCGTATATTGCAAACTATAGCCCACTATATATACTGAGCTCTGGGTCATAGGAGGACGTTAGTATATGTCTTCCTGTGACCCTAAAGAGAACTATGGGATAAAAAGGTAACCCCATTGCGCTCTTTTAAGCCTTTTTCATGTACAAATATAGATTGCAAATACTACCCACTGTCTTACTCTCGGGCACTCTGCTACTGCACATAGTGGCCACTACCAAACCCTACACAATGACATTACGTTGCACCACATTGCTAAGGAGTGTTCATACTGAGCACATTGTAAGCACACGAGTTGATAACTTCTTCGAGCTAAATTGCAGCTATCACTGAAAATTCCAGTGCTGGACCTCAACTGGAGTTGTGGAGCACAGGGGACCACACACAACATTGGTGGGCCACATATTGGGCGCCACTGAAGCTGCTTGTAAGGTCTTTGACTAAAGGTCTATTTAGAAAATACTGGGGAAAAAAGGAAGAAAGCGAGTGAAAGCGTATGTCAGGGTAAAATTAAAAAAAACCATATGCAGTACATCCCTGAAATGCATGCATGTGTCATGCATAAAATACATGCATGTGTTTTATCAATTTAAAGACCCCGCAAGTACAAAAAGCTGGAGTTCTTTAAGGCCACTCAGTTGCCCATGTGGGTAAATGTGAGAAATGATGGGGTATGTTCCCAACACTTTGATAAATGTTGAACGCTCTTCAACACAACCAAACAAGACCAGTTGAATGTGACAAATTGCTATTAGCTATACCATGAAAACCTTTACAGTCATATTGATGAAAGGAAATGTTTGTGTTGCATATGCTAGCTAGTCAGTCATTAATAGATAATCAGATTCTAGGAGTTTGTATGTATACATACACACTGTATATATACATATAATTAAATATATTTGTGAATTCTGGAGTTTTAATTTAATCCAATTGCCATAGTGCTATGCCATTTGTAATTTGGAAGCATCTTTAACATCTCATAACAAGTCCAGTTCTTTTTTTTTCCTCAAGTATTCAAATGAGACCCAGAGTAGTTCCTGAATCAAAGGAGGTGATGATATATATTTATTTTACTGCAGATGGTGAATGTACACGATCAGCAGCAGGAGTACTTGAGAGAAATGGAAGGGGTGTAAATAAGACTCCTAATGGTGTTACATATACTGGATCCTGGACAAATGACAAGGTAATGACACGTACTGTACAACTTCTCTATAATCCGTCTATTATATGTCATTTTTTTTTTTAAATAACCTTCCTTCATTTATTGTTTATGGCTGAACTCCAGCCAAACAACATTATAAGCCCCTCTCTTGCAAAAATTTGAAGGCTTCCCTGACAATGCCAGGAGGTGTCCTGCTTGAGAACAGCTGCCCTAAATTGGTCAGAGTTTGGAGACTTTCTATTCTACCTTCTGCTAAGTTGGTTGGCATTAAACAGTGGTGTTCAGTTTTGGTCTTCAAGGCACTCCAGCAGTAAATGCTTTCTATAGTCTTCTTAGGGCTGGACAAATCCCAGGAATCAGGTAGCCAATGCTCCCTAACAATGAGTGCTGGCGCCTAACTTTTGAGGTTTTCTCTAGTCGTTGCCCATGGAGCAGGCTCCTTAGGAATGCTGCTGGCACGTGCCGATGCCCGTCACGCGTTTCATCACCTGGGCTTAATTATAGAGGTGAAGCTCTTTTTGTCTATGTGCACAATATATGTGTGTAAAATACCTCCCTGTTCAGAGTGATCGGTAATTGGTATAGTGATTCAAGTGATCTCAAGCCATCAGCAGACCACAGTTCTCTTGATCAAAACTGGAGGCAGAAAAATAATAGTAAATAGATAAGAACTGTTGGGAAACTATAAATCACATTCTTCCCCAGCAGGAATGTCATTGAAGGCAAAATGAGATTCAATGTAAATTGATGGAACAGGATGGTAAATATAATAAATTCTAAAAGGAAAACATGAGTAGTTCGCAAAAAAATACTGAAAATACTAACTAGAAATACTCACGGTCTCCCTCAATAATAATATATAAGCATAAGTGAACACATCACATCTATGTGAAGGATATAGACAATGTAACATCATATTAAAGAATTCTATGATAAAAAGATTCATGGAAAGATCTTGTATTAATCATGTATTAATATATGGGATCATATATTAAATAGATCCCAAATTGAAATATAGAAAATGTATACAATATACAAAATGATACACCTAGATCCCTGGTTCTCAACTAATGGGTCGCGACCCAAAAGTGGGTCGCAACTCCTTCAGGGGTTCGCTGCGTCCTTAGGCTCTCCTGCCCCATTCAGCAGGGAGACAGAGCGGGGATGCATTGTGGCAGCGTGCAGGAGACTTCTATGTATAATGAAACAGTCCCCTCTCTCCCCCGGATCCCTACTGAAGTGATAGGGCCTGTGAGAGAGGGGACTATTTCACCACTTTCGGCCCGAAAAGTAATATCGGGGGCCACAGCTTAAAGTTCCGTTCTGCACTGTCCTCCACAGAGCAGCAGATATCAATCCGCACCAGCGCAGCAGATCGATATCAGTTCTATAGCAAACACTGAAAATCGCTCAACTGTGACAAGAAAGGCCTGTTTGTTACATAATGGCAAACCTGTACAATTTTTTATAAAATGCTTTTCTTGTTTCTTTTCATGAAAACAGATTAACAATGTAATATATACAAGTGCATCAAAAAATGTACAGGTATAGGGGTAGATTTAACTAAGCTAAAAACAAGAACACATCCTCACATTCAGGCAGGCTGAAACAATATATAAGAAAAGAATAAAGGGAACATTTTGAACTTAAAGCGAACTTACTCTTAGCCCACACATGTCAAAGGACAGGTTCGATTTAATGTAGCCCTCCCCTGCAGTTTATACTTGCCTTCTTTTTGTTCTGCTGCTGCTCTCTTCAGTTGCCCAGACCAAATAAAAGCCCTGTAAGAGCTATAGGTCGCGGGAGATATAACACAGGGTTATGGACTCCCTAAAGAAACATCACTTGACAAAGCACTGTCACTTGGAGTGAGTTACACAATCCTTCATACTCAAGAGTACAAGATATTTAATTTGGCTACCATGCTGAATGGATTGGCAAGGGTGTAAAGGAAAGGATAAGTATAGACTGCTAGGGAGGGGGGAATACATGTGTTGCTTTTCTCTTATGATAAAATAAAGGAATCCAAGAACATTGAACTAAATTGAACATTGAACTAAATGGGAAAAAAAAAACATTATTCACCATATGCGTGGTTCTCAACTGGTGAGTTGCGACCCTGTGTTCAGTGGGTCGCCGTGTTCCTTACACTGCGCTAGGTGAGAGGCTCCTCAACCTCTCCCTAGCTCAGCGCTGCCAATTCTCGCTCCAAGCAGCCATTCAAAATATGCTGCCTGGCCCAGAGTGTCATCTTGAGGTGGGGTGGGGTGGGGCTGGGAGTATGGCTATGAGGGAGCTCCATGCATACGTGCATTGCTTACAGCTCCCTTGTGTGCCCTGTGGAGGTGCCTGGACCGGAGTGACGTTACATTCTTGCTCCCGACACCTCTACAGGGTACGCAAGGGAGCTGTACAAGCAAGGCACATATGGATGGAGCTCAGTCACAGCACAGCAGCCCACAGTGAACTCCAGGCTTAAGATCTACTCCAGTTCTCATAAGGTAGCATGACTGGGTGGATCTTAAAAAAAATCAAAAAATGTAATAAAAAATTGGGAGTGTGTATGTGTGTGAGAGAATGTGAGTGTGTGAGACTGTGGTTGTGTGTGTCTGTCTGTGTTTTTGAGGGCCTATTCATATTAGTGCAGTGCGTTAATCGCACAGTCTCGTGCAATTACCGCACTGTACCACGCAACCTACTGCACATTCTGGTGTGGGAGGTGCATTGCATTGCAATTCATTTAAATGGCACCCCAAACGCACCTCCCACCGACAGTTTGATTGCCCACACCGCTGCGACTTAAAGCGGACCCTTACACCCAAAAAGCAAAATCTACCAATGTATCCCTCTCTTTCTACATATTAATAATAACCTAATCATGTCAGGTAAAAAATGCTGGCATGTGGATGTACTTACACTTGTAGAGCAGTCAATTCCTGCTTTCCCATGGCTAAAATGGCATCAATGTGCCAAAGCAATGCTCACTGGGATTGATTCATCACTAAAATGAGATCTTGTTCATTAAAAAAAGAAAGAAAGGTAATGGCTGCGCTGTTTTTGTTTTTTTAATCATTCTATCTTTTTTTACAACTTGAGGGGAGAACCGTCAGTTTTGGCAGACCGCTCTCCCTTCTTCAGCTGTGTGTTCGGCTCTGCCAAGCTGAACGCATATGCTTCGCCTGCTGCACAGGCTATTGTGAATAGCCTGTACAGCAGCCCTTCGGTTCGGCTGAACCAAAGGGTTGCTGCAGACCAAGCGAGCCGAAGGATTAGCTGAAGGTTTGGCTTAATTCTTCGGCTCTTTAGTGAATAACCCCCTAAGTTTTTGACAAGTCCTTTTAATAAAAGTGATCTAATTGGTCAATGCCATAACATACCCCGCCCCTTTCTTTACTATATGCATGTGGATCGGTAGTTTCCTTATATAAGATGCGCAAGGATAGCCATGCATCTTCAGAAGGGGCTGTGGCCATGGAAGCTGATGAAGATGCACAGGTGCGTGAATTAATCTCAGTGACAGCAGGACAGCATTTGCCCTCCTCAAAAATGGCCGCCCGCGGGTTTTCAGGACCAGAATTTCAAATTGGAATTGGCCGCCCGCAAGGTATTTAAAAACGAAAACATAGTATTGTTAATATTTTTATTTGGATAATCCTATACTATTGCTTGTGTGAATGTTTTTTTTTTCAAGTTTATATTGGCATTTAAAGGTCTGCTTCAATGACCAAGGACAAATGTGGGTCCTGAGGTTGCACAGGTTGAGAACCACTGCCCTACCCCACTCCCCAAGTGCCCCAGTTGTTAATTATGCTAGCTCTCCATGCAGATATTCTGATTCTAGCAACCTAATATTGACATGGATCAGCTGCTGTAAAAGAGTTTACTTATGACTTAGCCAACCATAAGAGGAAAAACTGTATTATTGAGGATATATACAATATTCTCTATTTTTCTTTATGGCATCACAGTAGGGGTTCTATATTAACCCTTTCTTTGCCAAGGCCTTTTTTGCACACGTTATAATCCACATTTTAGGCCTGAAAATTACTAAAAACCTTATATATTTTCTGAAGGCAAAGAGCCTGTAGAATAAAATTGTGTCAGTTGCAAATTTTTACATTGCACGATATTAGCGGAACTCTTTATCAAACCCGAAATTTGGAAAAAAATTAACTTAAGTTAATTTTAGTGCCCCAAACCACAATATAACTCCTATTGTTTTGTAAAATATGAAAGATGAGGTTATGACAAGTAAGTAGATACCTAAAAATTGCGTGCATCCGTGAAATAGCGACCAAAATAGGGTACCCCACATTGTCCATAGGCAACACTTTAAAAAACCCGTATAGGTCATCAGTTTAGGAGTATCCATGAATATTGGCCATAGAATTATTGATTCCACATGGCAATACCTAACATGTGTAGCGTGATTGTGGTTTTCGTACGTAGGCGCACCCAATGCGTGTTTACATCAATACGTGCGGGGTGGGGGACTTTTATTTTATTTAATCTTTTTAATTTTTTTTACAACTTTTTTTTCTTTTACTTTATTGCAATCACAAAGGGGGATTACAAGCCCTCTATGTGATAGCATACTAGTGGTAACAGGTACTCTTTAAGGTGACACTAGGGGTCTAATAGACTCCTAGTGTCATATTTCCACTCCAAAGAGACTATGGGAGCACAGATTGTGTTCCCATACCTTCTTGCCCAGCTTCTGAAGCCGAGCAATGACAGCTGAGGGACCAGAAGTGATGCAATCAGTGTCGCTTTCTGTTCCATTCATCAGGGAAGAGATCGACGAACAAATGTTCGCCGGTCGGCTTCCTGTCCATACGCGTGTTGCCAATCCTGGGCCTGCAGTAGGGAGGGCGGAGTCCTGGAAAAAAGGCGGAGGGCGCACACTACACCGGCCCCTAGAATCGCTTCCAGTGTAAAGCCAACAGTTGGCTTTACACATGTAAACAGGTCCCCATGGCTATAGCTGCTGGGAGTCTGTTTAAAGGGGCCCGCTGCCAGCAACATATGACATATGTCGGTGGTAACGAAAGGATTAAAAGGAACCTGTCATGAGAAAAATATGTAGGCTGCCATTGCTGACCTCCTGAAAAAAAGTTGCTTGATGTAATTTTGATGTTTAGGCTTTAATGTTTTCTTATTCACAGACCTGGAAGTAAAGACATAATTGTTCCTTACTTTTCTCTCACACTCATTGCAGCATGCTTACTCTAGGTGTATGACTTGGAAATATTAAGACCAGCTAGGCAACTATTATTGTCAGAAGCAGATTAGGAGTGACAGTCAAATACATTCGTGTGAAAAAGAAAGTACACCTTCTTTAAAATCCACGGTTTGAAGTATCAGGACATAATAAAAATAATATAGTCCTTAGCAGGTCTTAAAATTAGGTAAATACAACCGCAGATGAACAACAACACTTGAAATATTACACTGTGCCATTATTTATTTGAGATAGCATTTTCCCAATTCTAAGACATGCTAAGGGCCAGATGATTTTTATTATGTCCTCATACGTAAAATCATAGAATTCAAAGAGGGTGTACTTTCTTTTTCACATGACCGTAATTCTCTCATGACGTGCACTTTAAAGATAAGCTCTATATGAGAATGTAAAATTCTTTGTGATGAGTCTGGAGACCACAAGAGGAAATAGATTAAACTGTGTCCTAATTTGCTAATTTGAAAGACGTTGGCAAAACTTCAAGCTGCAGAGGGACATTCTTTGCTGCAGAACATAAGCCATACTCAAGGGAAAGTGACAGAGACAGAACTAATTTGCTGCCATTGTTCTTTCGCCTTCACCTTTTTTGTCTTCTTTGCACATCTGGCTTGTAAATATTTTACAACATTATATAGAATTTGTGTCTGTTTTGTTGAACACAGATGAATGGATTTGGGAAACTTGAACATCCTTCAGGAGCAGTTTATAAAGGTGAATTCATTGACAATATGTTTCATGGGATTGGCACTTACACATTTCCCAATGGAGCACAGTACCTAGGAGGCTTTATTAAGAACAAGTAAGTTAAATACCTTTTGTGTTTGCCTCTACTTTTATTATTAGTATGCAACAACATTTTAATAAAAGTGTTGTGTAGAAACATAGACAGCTCTCTCCTATTTGTACATATATACATTCTACTAACACTATAATACTATGACCACCAATAAAATTAACAGTGCACAAAAATGAATACAAATGTAACAAAAACAGAATGTTACAACAACAAAAAAATCACAGAGCATATCAGTAAATACAAATACTTTAGAAACCGAATTCAAGTCCATGTAAAAACAATCACTTGTGAATATTATATCAGTTCCCCATGAGGTTGATTTACTAAAGGCAAATAGGTTGTTCAATTTGCAAGGGAAGGTACGAGCAAAAAGAAGTCTTTTGGTTTTTTTTTAAATTTTCCTTACACATGATTGGGTATGCTTTGCAAAGTGAATTTATACCGCATTCACTAAGCTAAGGTAAGATGCCCATGCAAACTGAAAATTCCCTGGGAAAGTGAACAGCCAACAAACTTTTCTTCCCCATTGCTTCCATGTAAAGTCTACCAACAAAACCCAGTCAGCGGAATTCACAAAGATTAGCACTAAGTTTTAACAAGAACAGTTTCTTATATCTATGACAAGCGGAGTAGCCCCAGATTCACATACATGGTACAGACACCTCTGAGAATCTGTCTAAATCTGACAGAACTGGTCCAACTAGTAAAAAAAAAATCTAATAATAAAAAACAGTTCGTTTACATAATTGGCTTATAATTTCTGTCAGAGAAATTACATTAATTTTGAAAACTAAATTAAAAGAAAAGGAAAAAATATCAATAATCATGTGTTTTGTAATTTGTGTTAGAAACAAATTCTTCCTAATCATACATTAAAGATAAATATGTACAGGTTGCCTTTTTTTTATTAAACTGTTCAATATTCACTGTTATTACTATATTAAGCCAATATGTATAATGTTATAACCCAAAAGCAAACATTTAATATATCAAAGCATACTGCTCATTAACTGCTCATTTTTGTCTATTTAAATAGGCAAGGAGGTCTCAAAGGTGCCTCCTACCAAATGCCTTCACCCTACTGGGTGTCATTAGTATTGTCCAAATGTATACACTCCTGAGAGTCTAAAAATTAAATACCACTCATGGATATAATAATTAGAGAGAAATGTTTGGGGATGGTACACTGTTTGGAAAATATGCATAGAAACAAAATGTTCAGACTTTCAGTACTAGTGGTACTCAAACCCACAAAAGTCTCAATTTGTCACAATTTTATTGTACTTCATAATTAAGTTTTGTTTGGGATAAAGGGTTTTGCATAAATGAATAAAAGCTGACCATTACAAGCAGCCTCATCAATGTTAAATGGTTTGTCTCAACGCTCTCTCTGCTACTTCTGCTGGACTGTTTGGTCTATTAACAAACTTACTGGCCAGATCCACAGGTGAGAATAAAGGGGGGTTAAAAGGAAACATATGCAGTCACCACATCTGAGGACTGGTAAGCTGCAATATATTACTCTGATTCTCCTCCTCCGGTCCTTGTGGTGTAGGCAGGTGGTGCAGAGCGGCTCAGCTGTGTGGGGCAGGTGTGGGGAGAATCATCAGAGCGGAGTGTCTGAGCTGCGGGTTAGTATTTTCAGAGGAGAGAATTGATAAGCATGAGAATGTAACAAAAAAAGTGAATAGAAGATAACATGGAAATTGATTGTGATGTAATTATTCCTGCTTTGTTCTTCATGGGTCAAATAGTAATTCATTGGTGATTGAAAAATCGCAGAGATCGACTGGGACCTCTGGTGAGACCACACAGCTCTCCTAAGACCCCGCACAGGCACCCGAGTGTCCGCACAGCCCACCATAGAACCTGCACAGCCACCTGAGAGTCCACACAGCCCACTATAGACCCCACCTGAGAGTCAGCACGGCCCACCATAGACCCCGCATAGCCCACCTGAGAGTCTGCACAGCCCACCTGTAATTTTGTTGAATTACAAATTTAATTCTTTAACTTTGAATTGAATCTTTTCTAAATTAATTTTAGTTTTTTTGGGGGGGAAGAGGGTGACACCATGAGTTCCTGCACCGGGTGACACTAACCCTAGTGAAGCCTCTGATGTAGCCATTGTGATTTTGATTTTTCCTGAGTGTGTTTCACCACCAGTATCCGCCCAAGGGCAAACTCACCCCAAGAATATGACCACTAAATTAACCAGTTGACATCCGCGGTGTTAAACCCCCTTCCCATCCAGGCCATTTTTCAGTATTCAGCGCTGCGGTACTTTGACTGACATTTATTCCGTCATGCAACGCTGTACTGAAATGAATTTTATACCCTTTTTTGGGGACAGATAGAGCTTTCTTTTGGTGGTATTTATTCACCACTGGGGGTTTTATTTTTTACTTTATTAAGGAAAAATTAAAGAAATTTAAAAAAAAAAAAAACAGTTTCCCCTATATTAAATGATAAAACATTTATTATTACCCAATTTTTTGGTAAAATATAAAAGACGGGGGTCACGTCGGGTAAAAAGACACCAAACATGTCAAGCTTTAAAATTGCGTGCGCGAAACCTCAAAAAACGATAATACCCAAAATTGGCCATAGGCGACGCTTTAAAAGCTGATACAGCTCATCAGTTTAGGCCCCATTAACACTGCACGATTCGCAAATCGCGCGATTTGCATTTTGCGCAATATCGCGCAAATGCTTGCATTGAGCAAGCTTGAATCTCGGCTAAATCCGCTCCAAAAAGGGTCCAGCTGTAGCGACACACGACCTGCGACAGCAGGACCCTTTGCCCCATTGAGAAGCATTGGAGAGCGATATCGCACGGGAATTACCGCACGATAAATCGCTCAATGTGAATGGGGAACCTGATGCCCTCCGAGCCGGTCCCGGGCCGCAGATGGGGCAGCGAAAAAACGAGCACATATAAACGATCGGTGGGCTATGGAGTAGCCAATGCAGCATTGCCGTCCGTCCGTTTTTTTACAACGGGCGGACGGCAAGTGGTTAATAGAACATCAGATGTGTTAAAAACTTCATTATGATCACATTTTTCTCCACAGGTTTCACATACTCCCATCAGTTCAAATGAATATTCCCCTAATGATTACCTAAAGAAACTCCACATAGTGTAAATTCATCATTTTATTTAATAGTGTTATAAAGTATTATAAAACACACTCATATAAAGGTAGTGCTACTCATCTAGCACTGGTACAAAACACTTGGAGGTGTATGTCTTCCTTGCAGTCATAGTAAACTGTGTTGCTGGACTTTGTGTCCCATACTGGCTTTTTTTTTTAAATGGAAGAATTGCCACCTCCAAAGGGAATCTTTCCCAACACAACAATTTACAAGGAGAGCCAGTTTTGCTTTTACGTTGCTGCATCAGACATAAAAAAGTGATGTTTTCAGGAGAAAAATACTGTTTTCCAGCTGCATGGTGCTTTGATCATTCTACTATATGTCAAAATAACTGTTCTCTCTAAGCTAAGTGATCTAGAAGTAACTGTGTTAAAAATTCAGAATGTAGTCATTCGGTGCCAATTAGGAAATGTAAAACTCTAATTTTTTTCGAGACTGTACTTCATGAAAGAGAACATAGCTGACAGTTCCCCTGTCACAAAGCAGCATAATAATCACTAGTTGTCGGTGAATCGTACTTCTGAAAGGAAGGCGAAAGTTAAAAGGAGAATTATGAGGTGAGTGATTTTCATTCAGCCTCATAATCTGAGCCGACCTGTGACAATAAAATTGTCACAGGTCGGCTCAGTATATCGGGAAGTGAACGAACACATACCGACGCTCGCTCACTTCTCGATCTATCCCTGCAGAGGGCCGTGACTGTCACTCACTGTTCCCAGCAGCGATTCCCCTCCCCTGTCCGATCCTCCAGCACTGACTGGGGGAACGGATGGGGCGGGTACAGCTGGCTCTGCCTCTAGATAGGCAGAGCCAGCTGTCACTCACGCAGCTGGGTGGATCCAGACAGAATTGTCAGGATCCGTTCCAGCTGCGGTGTCTCAGTATAGTATACTGAGCTTTGGGTGACAGGAGGACGCTAGTTTGTGTCCTCCCGTTACCCTTAGGAGAACTATGGGGAAAGGCCCCAACCCCATAGTTCTCAAGCCAATTCTTAAAGCATTCTTATATAGCATGGGCATAATTCAACCTGAAAGAGGAGCAGCACACTGGAGATGGAGGGGTGAGTCTGCCAGGGACAGCGCCAAAGATCAGCATAATATAGCAGCTTTTTTTTTTTTTTTTACAAGGGCTGCAGTTCAATTACTGTTCAAGCTGAACTGTGGAACAACCTCTACTAGCAGACTTTGTAATGGAAAAATATTTTTTTATTTCACCAGTTCAACAAGTGCATTAGGTACAGTCACACACTGAACCATATTAACTTTACAAGGGTTAGGCAAAAGTGTTTTGTATAGTATGAGCACGTTCAAGTGGGTTTTTTTTAAAGAAGCAAAAAGGTATTCAATGCATTTAAAGTGCCCTAGTCGCCAAACTAAAGGTGTTCTGTAAAACAAATGGTATATACTTGCCTCTCTTGCCATCCACGGTGCCAAAGTGAAATAGCCCAGTGAAAATTCTTCTGAAACCAAGTCTACTGTGTTTTCTTCATCGCTCACTGGTTCCTCCTGTCAACCCGTAAGTCACTCTAAGACACACTAATGAGCACTACAGGGAGAGGGGGGCAGAAGATTGACACTCCCAGAAGCATCAGTTTCAGAAGAAATTTCACCCAGCTATCATATCTTCATTGGAGTGGCGTTCCCTAACATGAGAGGCAGGAGAGGTAAGTATAATACAGATCCTACCTGCTATCATCCTGTTTACATTTGTTGCTGTGGCTGCTCCCTCTGCAGTTATCCACTTTTTTATTTCTCGCATTCCATCCTCCCAAACACACTTGCTCTGTTTATTACCTCAGGTGAGCCGTGCGCATAAGCAATTGAGGTCAAATGTGCACCTCCTGATTA